CACATACGGCCTCGTGAAATTTTCTGGCTGAAATTTGGGTAACTCGAGAACTGAGAATGCTAGGAACTTGGGATTTCGAGGGAGTGTTCCTTGCCCATGTATAGCGTGGATAATTAACTTCCCGAAATTCGAGAACCAGTATGTACATGAGGTTTCTAGCTTGCGGAATTTCGAGTGATCTTATTGCAGCACGAAACACTGCAAAAAACGCATGATCGCACGGGCCCGCCCAGTGCGCGTCGCCAATGATTTTTCACTGTGTACCACATTTTTGCGTTCCCTTAAAAGCTGCACAGTCCCCAGTTATTTAAGATCCGCTGATCAAGGACGCAGGGTAATCGCAGCTTGCTTGAAGTGGTCATGGTTTAAAGCACCGTGAGCTTACACTATGGAGATAGTTACTACCCCGACTTACGATAAGGTGGACTTTCAAAGGACGCCGCTTTAAAACAGGGAAGGGAAAGTCGCTCTTTAACTTCACTGAGATCGTCCTCAAATCTGGCAAAGACATGCTTTAAGGGACCTTGAAACGTATGCGTCGTCCGCCATGAGTCTGCTTCTGAACAGCCATTACCTTCAAAACTTCAGTTTTTAAGTTCGGCAGCAACGTCTCGATGATTTCATATTCCTAAAAATATTGAAGAGAGACCGATGAGAGATGCTGTACTAGCCAACTAACAGCAAAACGCAATTTTAAAAAGCAATTTACTTTAATCGGGAGGGAGTTCAAGTAGATTTCTTCAACTGAAGTTATTTTTCGATCTTTCACCAACCGTCCTAACTTTGTGATGGGAATCCATTTCCTTTCCTTGTCTTTACTGATTCTGAAAAGTAATGATGGTCCGTTAAAACGTAATGATTGATATTTCGCAGTATGTGATTGAAATTTTTGGGGAAAATCAGACTGAATACACACCCCTAGCTAAACAGAAAACAACTAAACCTTTTATGCTGCTTATCGAAACGTAGTCAGACATAAACAAGAATTCTGGGATGGGTATTACTTAAGGAGAAGGTAAGAAATCGAGTGGGACAGTCAGCCAGGCTAGTTGTCTTGAAATTTACCTTTGCCTGCATCTCCTCTGACCTCGTCCACGTCCGCGATCTTCTGCACTGGCTGCTTCGAGATCTGGACTAGTTTCACTGGAGCCAACTCTAGCTGAAAAAGTTTTGATCGCGCTTATCTGGAGCATGCAAGAAAAGGCTTTTTTTATCGTTCAAACTGTCATTTAATGCCTTTTATTAGTCGACTTATTATGCGTTTTGTGCTGTGTAACAGCAGTACAAAACGCATATTGTTACGAGGTTGTCTGTGTG